TCAAGATACATAATTTTACTTAATCTATGGTGTGCAGCACATAGTTTATTACATTAAAGTCTCACTAGCCAGAGAAAAATCTGGAATGCTTAACTGAAAACTGTGCAAAGAAACTGAAACTAAAGTGTAAGGATTTCTACTAATCATCTGCAAATTTTATTTGGAACTTGATCCTGCAGCCCTTATTCACAAGATCAGACCTATTGAGTTTATTCACATGAGCTTCGGCTGCAAGATTGGACCTTAAGTACTATCAGGTGCACGTGCAGCCTATCATCAGATTCTGGGTTATTCATGTAAGAAGCTATCTTTTCAAATGCAGACTACTTAATGCTTCCTTCTTCATTAACTTACATGTCCTCTTCTGCTGCTCTATGCTTTCATTTGTGCTATGTAAATAGCTTCTTTCTCTCAGTCATCCAAACTAATAATGCTCTTTGCAACCAAGGAGGAAATTAGTAGCAGGTGAACGCTTAGTTTTTAAATTATGTCGAGACCAAGCTGTTCTTTAACTTAAACAAGATCTGGAACAAAAAAAATCCCATTTTACTACTTAGCAATCTTAATTATGGGTTGTCATAATTCTAGATACTTATTTCCCCCATCTCCCTTCACTCCCCCCAAAATATTAACCTTGGTGGTTAATCTACTTTCTTATAAGCTGGACCCAACATTGTGCACATACTTTAAGGCAGTTTATTTAGTTGGACAAAACTTGTTTGAGGACATAAAATGAACTCTATCTTATAATAAATGAAACATGTATGGAATTTCCAACTGAGGTGTTCTATTTCTTTGCTTTCTGTACCTATCCTACATAAGTATAAGGTATTTCTTGTGCTATGGTGTGGTAAGCGTAAAAAATAACCACAGCTGTTCTGCTATCTGCTTATATGCTTCTGCAGGTCAGACAGCCTGCAATGACAAGGGATGGCATACACTAGTCCTTAATAGGACCACTGTAGAGGCATTTATATCATAGTCTACATTATCATCTACATATTTATGAATCTTATTTGACTTAGGTAAAGTCATAAGTAGTCAATCAAGCTGTTAGTATAGGTAAAAGTATCTTCATTGGTGATGGCACTCACCAAAACATCTTCAAATACCAAATGGCCTCCAAGCAATCACCAAATCATTATTACTCAGTGCTAGAGCTGTAAGAGGCAAGGAGAAGGCCAGACAGTAACTGATGCTAGGGATATTCTGGTTACTGTACAACTGTAGAAGGAGAATGTGAATATTTTTCACATGAAATCTCATTATCAACACAACCCATATGACTGGCAAAATGCAAGGTAAAATCCCAGCAACAGATTTTAGTTGTACTTTCTTTATAATTTCCAGCTAATTTCAAAGTCATGATGAACCAGGGGCTGAAGCTGACTGTTGGCAATTTCAGTAGTGATTAATATCAACTGAAAGTGCAGCGCAAACAATAAACACAGACATCTATTTAAAATGCATGGAGATGTACACAATTTGAGTCTAATCTGAAGTTTAACCTAGAATCCATGTCTCCGTAATTCCTAGCCAGAAAAAAAATAAATAAATAAAAATTCAACCTTGTACTGAATGGTACGTCTGCTACGACTGTTGTCACAAAATTGTTCTCAATCGTACTTCAAACTTGCCACATGGATTAATCAGCAGTTAGAAGCAGCTGCAACACCGTGTTCTGTGCACTGCTGTCGCCATTTTAATTTTTAAAAAGCAAATGGAGAGGCTCTCCACAAAATTCAATGCCGCAAAAGCAATGACTGAACCAGAATCACAAAATTATGAACAGTTCACTAAATTGTCTATTAGGAGCACGTATCAAGAGGCTGCAAAACAAATTGTGTGCCTGAAATAACAGATCGATGAATGAAGAATAAAGAGATATAAGAAGTGGAGACGTTGACGAACCATTGTAATTTGTGAAGAATCAATTTCCATACAGCCAGAATAATGGCAGAACATCACAGATAGTGCATTCATGACTTTTAACAGCAAAAAATTACTGAGCAGAAATTTATTAATGATCTGAAAAAGAGAGAACAATTCTGTGACATTAGGCCAGGAAGTACATCCACTGCTTAAAATCAGTAAAAACCAATAAAAGGAGCCCAAAATATATACATACAATAAAGGGGAAAAAAAAAAGCCGCCTTCAGCAGGATGGGTATATCTTTTAAACATTAGAAAATCAGCACAAAATGACTGAACAACAGAAACACTGAGCACCTAAATCACTTTTGTCTGATGACCCAAGTCTAGCTACCTCATTATCTCACTGTATGTCCAACTACTTAAATGTTCAGCCACAAATAAATATTAGGGAACTCCTAAAGCCAAAGGATGATGTTTCAGAGCAAAGGTTGAAGGCCAGATTTTACTATATTGCCTTACGAATTCTATGAGCTGCTGCTTCTTAAGCTACCACATTTGCTAAACATGTTACACTGGACTACAAAATGGCAAATCAGAGGGTAATATACTGCTTCCGTACTTTTCAACATCTACATCAGTGATCCACCAATCTATGGCACAAAAGAAGGTTCTATGTATGTGAACAAATGCCAAGGGTCTTGCTGGCCAACATCCCCTGCATTCTCAGATAACTATATAAGCACTCCCAGCACCAAAAACAATGGAGCATTTATAAATCTGTGGCATATTGGAGGAACTGTGTAGTATAAAGTATCTAGCAGACAACAGAGTGAAACACATGTCAGTTTCTTTTTTCTGTAAAAATACAAACCAAATAAACAACTTAGAACAATTCACTCTGTCAGATTCCTGACCTCAAACTTTTCTGCCTTTTACATACCAATATAAACAGTGTGCATTTTTAAAGATCACTTAAACCTGAACATGGAGAATCGCTATAATTAAGGCAAAATGCACAAGAAAGAGTACAGATGTAAGGCACCCACTCCATGAACACACCCACCTCCTTGTTAACCAAAAATCACAGAAAGTCATTCATATCATTATGAGTTGAAGCTGTGGCACTAGCTATTCAGATGTTCAGAATAAGGAATTTGATGATGTTGCCAAACGTGTACAAGGAGGTGCGGTAACACAAGAATCTACATGGAGATATACTATTCTTTGTAGTTCTGCCTCATCCAATTCGTTTATCTGGAAAATGGGGATATTTGAATAGTACATGCACAAACAAGGGTCTGCATACGCAGACCCTGGAATAAGTGCTAATCTGTTTTCTGTTGAGAAAAGCTTGTATCAAGTAACTTAAGACAATGCAAAGATAGGGCAACAGCACATTTTTTTGAAAAAATACCGTTGAGATGAAAGTATGTGAGAAGCACCATTGCTTCCTCCCTGCCACAGTTCTTGCAGGAATGAGAAGGAAGAGATAAAAATGAAAGTTCTTCACTCTCTGGTAAAAAAGATCTGGCAGGACAAAGCAGCGCTGAACAGCCTGGTAGCTCCGGCATAGCAGAGAGCCCTGCATGAAACAGAAGGGCTGAGCGAGGACACAGCACCAGAGCACTGCTCAGCAGAGGTTAAGGACTGACAGTGTACTATTTGTGTTGATCCAGATGGGCAGAGACATCTACTGTGCACTCCCTTCTGGACCCTGCATGTTCTGTGCCTGCAGAAGCTCCCAAAGCCTATCTTGCTACTGAAGAAGTAATTAGATACTTCTTCAGCTTAACAAAGGCATTCTTGGCAGCATGAGAAACTATAAGAAATCATTTTGTGATAAATTTACTATGCACTTATTTATCCATTCAAGAAAAACTCAACCAAGATGCTTTACACTGTTTACTTTGCAATAGTGTAGGACTGGCTGTCATTTCAGGCCCTGTAGTTTTCTTTTTACTGTTTAGTACACAATTAGATTGGCTGGGAGTCACAAGAAGCTGGGAGGGGCACAGCCGTGACAGCTGACCCCAAATGACTCAATGCGTATTCCATGCCATATAGTGTCATGCACAGCAATAAAAGCTGGGGAAAGAAGGATGAAAGGGAGATATATGCAGATATCTTCCAAACTGGACTGGCTGAAGCAAGTCCAGAGGAGTCCACAGAGATGCTGAGAGGACTGGAGCAGCTCTGCTCTGGAGACAGGCTGAGAAAGCTGGGCTGGTTCAGCCTGGAGAAGAGAAGGCTCTGGGAGAACCTAGAGCAGCTTCCAGTGCCTAAAGGGGCTACAAGAAATCTGGAAAGAATTCTTTCTAATAGAAAGACTATTTTGTACACAGAATTGTGCATCTCCTTTCTCCAAAAGCCACTCTAACTTCAGCAGCATTAGTACCTAGAGAATGTTCTTTCTGTGGGGTAGGGGAGGTTGACAGTGCAAGGAACAGCACTGCTCTGCATTCATCACACACTGCTCTGCATTCACTGAGATCAGCTGCCCTTCTCCTCAAGTCAATGTTCTCACTCCTGAAGTATTACAGAAAACATGGCACTGAAATGAAAGTCATTTTAACATAGAAAAGAAACTAAGATCCATTGCTTTTATAGTTACTACATCCACAGCATCCCTACAAAAAGCCTAAGAAGTACCAGTTGCATCCAAAATCTAATACACCAACAAATATTTAATAAATTATTCCTCAGATCTCTAGTTAATTAACCTAGGTGGTCCTGGTATCACCCGGTTACACGAGAAAACTATTCAATGCATCTATCTTCAGCTATAAGGTAAAATGCCAGTTTTGTATCCAGTGCTTCACTGTGAGAAGAAAATACTGCATTGTATAATATTCTCCAATTTGCGTACTCTAGATGACATTCTATTTTGAACATACATTAAAGTCAAATTGTAGTCTAAATCACATCTTAAGCTATACAGCAAATAATGGAAATTACTGTTAGAGCATTAACACACAATAAATCCTGAAATACCTTTTGTTAAATGACTGCAGCCTCGCTAAATCTTTATTGACATACATGAAAGTATCACTTCTACAGAGAAATGCTACAAAACCCACAGCACTCCAATATGTATTTGCATGCATACACACACACTATTTATATACCTCTCCAAGAGCTTCATAGCGCTTTTGGTTCCATCTATGTAAATCTTCTCGATAATTAAAGACAAATGGCTCCCCGGTTTTTATGTGTCTTAACTGCCCTTCTGGAAAAGAAACAAAATCATTACATTTCAGTAACTTCTTCATTAGAAGTAAGACACATTTAAAAGAAGTCTACATATAAAAATTGGGCTATTATGAATTCCTTCTCATTTATGGTTACAGTATTTCTGAAGAAAAACAACTGTAGCATAACTACAAAATGCATTCCCCTTGAATGGTGTATATTGCTAAATAAAGCTAAACATAAGTGATGACAGTAAAATTACACATGGATACCAAAATGCTCTGCAAGAAATATTTATGTGTCAACTGCTATAGATTAACGGTGAAATGTAAACATTAGTAGTTAATACTTGATTTGTGGTGTCAATTAGGTGATCAAATTGTAGCTATAAATCTCCCACTTCAAAACCAACTGAATTTATAAGGAAACGTGAGTACAAAGTGGGCTGGGGGCTGGAAGGAAAGGCAACATTTTTTTTCAAGATTAACAACATTTTAAATTAATCTGAAAAAGCACATGCACAGTTAGCATAAGTATCTTAACTCCTAGACACAGTGCAATCAAGTAAGAGCTCTTACATCCAGGGTACACCAAGATTGCAACACTAGAATAAAGCAGAATGCTTGCTCAGAGCAAACCCACATGCTACTCTGAGATTCCAGTGTAACTTTCTGTAGTTGGACTTGTTTATAGTGAAAGTTTAGTATCATACCGAACCACAGATATGACATGGGCCGAGTTAAAATAACAGCAATAATAAAATGGCAACCAATAGGATGTAATTTCAGTAAAATAGGTATCTCACTAGTAATGTTTCAGCTCATTAGACAAAACACAAGTTATGATCTCAAAGCATCACAAATCAATGTAAATCAAAGAAACATTAAAAGCAGGGAGGGATATGTATGAGTATCTCCTTTGAAAGCTGAAAAGTCTGCAAGATGAAAATTAGGTTTCTTAGCAAAATGTTTCTTCTTGAATAGTAAGAAATTACTAACTTAGTTCACACCTTTTCAGGATCTTTAGGATCTGATTCCTGATGTTTTAAATAAAGTATTTAAGATCTGACATCTGTAATAGTTTGCTTATCTCCTTATTCGATATTTTTTCCAGACTTGTCCTACCTCACATACTAGACACCAGGGAAACATCTCTCCCAAATTTTGTATCCCTGTCTGAGGTTCAAATATCCTTCTCATATTTTCATCATAACTTTATCTTCAGCTGTTCCTTCTCAGCTACTTACTCTTCAAGTATGCCATTCACTAGTACATGAAGTAGCTCTCTCCACAAGTAAAGTGGAGCAAACACCCAGTAAATTTTTTTCTTTGGCTTTCAGGAACCCTTGTCTTCTACAGATTCTTTAAATCTGATAAAAATCTTCCTTACTTTTCCATCATAAAAAAAAAAGCAAGTTTATGACATGGTTACAGGACCAAACACTTTAATTAAATGTACAAAAGCAAAACAGAGATCTTTTTGCTTTGCTGCCCAGCAGCATGTGTTCTGCTGCATTCTATGGAAATCACTCAGTCTGTGAGGATGGTGATGGAATATTCAATAATATCATTCTAAAACACTGTTCCCCAAAATTAAAATTTCAGCCCTTTTTATCAGCCACATATGAGCCATTAACTCTGAAGTCAGTAAAGAAGACAGTAGACATTGTGCAGATCTAAAAATAAGGAGCTGAAAAGTGACAGAACTGAACCCCTCCCAGCAAAGAAAGAGCGTCACTTTCATGACACTTTTAGTCTCTGAGTACCTTCCTGTGAAAGCCATCAGAGTATTAAAAAGCTAAGTGTTGCATAAATGACTACCATTTAAAGGAAAGCTCTTTTTTTTTTTTTCTTTAAAAGTCAAGACATAAGATGGGCAGATTTAGAAACTAAAGTTCCTCTGTTCACAGAACAGGCACTGCAAAGGAGTAAAATTTTAAACGTCCCCATTTGTCCTACAGGTTTCAAACAATCTTGAAAGAGACATTTGCTTGAGTCTGGTACTACTTTAGCTCAGAGGCTTATTTCTCAGCTGGATTTAAAATGCATGCACTGGAAATTATAAATACTACTAATTCATTTAACACACAGATTCAGCTACCTGGAAGTACTCACAGTCATCAAACACATAGCTGTAATGCAAAACCATGATCCACATCAGAAAAGTAAGGGACAGTCTATCACAATGTTCATTCTTTCTTCCACCAAAATAAACAGGTGTTTTTCTATTGATATTAACAAAATAGCTGGAATAAATCATTATCCGAATAACTTCTTTTGTATCCATAAAAATGAATCAGTAAATAAAATGTTTCTTAAATGCGTGACTACCCTTTAATTTTGCTTGCTAATGCTACCAAAATTACTTTCAGAATTTTTTTGTATCAACACTACTGTAACAGAAAACAGGAAGTCAGAAAGTATGCACAATACAAACCTACAGTATTGCATGAAAGGAGGGATTTTTGTGACAATTTTATGAAATTAAAAAAACTAATTACTTAGCTAGATTTACAAGTGTGTTACCACTGAGACTTGAAATTTTATTCTTAAGTGAAAAGTGTGAAATTCTGATAGGGACTTATATCGTATAATTAAAGTTCCGATAACCCCTCAACACTACTGTAAGTATAACATTTAAAAATCATATATGACTTACTTTCATTAAAAATGTACTCAAATCCTTCCAGAGTATCAGGAAATTCGAGTGGTGGCTCATCTTTTTTCATTAGTTCATCCAAGTCTATTCTAGACAATAGATCTGAAAAAAAGACAAGAAAAATTACATAACGTATGCTACGCCTTTTTTATTTCGCTGTTATCATGAACAAACCATGTTTGTTCAGATTTGTATATCTTAAGGGCAGAAGGACATCCTACATACTACTAAGCACAGGACTTTGCTCTGGGAAGTAACATTCCAGATTCAAAAGTTGGGCCTCACTGTCAGTGTATCTTCTTACTTATTTATTTACCTACCTATTTATCTCTAATGTTGACCAAAATGTACAGGGACAGAGAAGTCACCAAAATCACCTCTGGTATGCATCATGGTTTTAACATGAACTTATCTAGTTTCAGTATCAAGTCATCAATACATTCTTGTTTGACTTCATGAAGAGCTTAAATTATCAAATGAACATCATCTCATAGGCATTTACTAGTTGTGTCATCACAACACTCCTTAACCTTCTCTTTGATACCCAAACAGGCTATGCTATCTGAATCCTTCTTTCAGCCACCCTCCTTCAATAACTCTCAAGATACAGAAAACCACCATCCACTTTATTGCAAGCCAGGACACACACATCCTTGTCAGACTAGGATGGTATAACCTAGCACAGCCTTCAATCACTAAAATAAGCAGTCTTTACCTTAGATTTAAGGATTCATATTTAACCAGAGGCAAACACATAGGGACATCTTTTGCTTACATCTAACTACTACATAATTACTGCATATGCAGATAATAGTGTACAATAATCCCTTCTCTCATTGTCCACCACCACACAGTGCAATAACATTCTAACAGACTGATTATTAAAAAAAAAAAAAAAAAAATCAAGAAATGATTCACCAGGATTCCACTAAAATATTTTCCTACTTCCTTAATTTGATTTAATTAATTAAAGACCACAAAAACATTCAGGAGTGCTACACAGACTTTGAACTATTATTGTTTCATAAATCAAGATACCATGCATTAAACCAAGGAAATGTGTTAAGTATTCTAAGTATACTGTACCTTTACCATCCAAAACTGTAGCTCAAAGAAAACAGTCTGAAAAGACTCATTTTCTTTAAACTTTCTTTCTTTGACATTAACTACACTTCCATCCTTTAATTACTTTAAATCATTATTTGAATAAATTTTGTATCACTATTTCTGCTTAGTCTTGTCACCAGTGACAAGGCTACATGTTACCCACATTACCTAAGCTTAGCATTGGTACATTAATCCTCTGGAATTTCTACGGTGTTTAAAATGTACTGAAAATTAGCTTCAACATTTTTCAGAGTTCCTTCCTAGAAGAAAACAACATCCTCAGAGAAAGCTTTCATAATCTGAAGTATTTATTTCTTGGACACTAATCCTGATGAAGACCAAATTACTGGCAAGTATAAAACGGGAGTTTTACTTTTCCCATCATGAAGAATCAGCTTCTCAAAAAACATTAATTTGACATAATTAGTAGAAGTTTCGAAACAAACACCACACAGGTTTTCATCAAGGGTTACCAAAAATACACTTGTAACTGAACAAACACCATCTACCATCACTGTATAACAGAACATATATTTCTAACAATACTTCAGCAGAAATCAGATTTTTACACTAGAGTTGCAAGGTATATTCTTCTTTTCTCTTTCGAAAGACAATTTAGTGAGTAAATGTATGATGCAAGCAATTTAAATCAAATGTTTGCTTAGCTCACTTGTAGGTCTAACCAACTCCACGTACTTCCAAAACTGGAAAACACTGTACAAAAGCTGTAATATAGTGGTTTTTTTTTCCTCAGGAAACTTACTCCACTAAGTCACTTCAGTCCATCTATTTTTTAAAAGAAATAATACAAAGAAAACTTTATAAAATCAACATGGCAATCAATGCCCTGAAAATGTTTTCCCTGCTAACAGTTTTGTCAGAGATTTTTAAAAGCTGTGACAAGGTTTTATAATTATAAAACATAAATGGCATAAAAACTAATGACAAATCCCAGCAACTAAGAACACAAAAACACCAGCAAACTTTCTCAAAGGCTAATTATGAAAATATAAAATTAATGGATATATTATTGTTACCACAGATCATTATTTTTCATATCTTGTTATGAAAATACTGATAATGGACACACCATTAGACAAAAAGCATTACTATAGACAGACTAATAGTCTCTTTCAGTATTGCAGTTCCCAGACTCTAACCCATAGATATATCAAACTATTTTCCTTTGTTTAGTAACTGCTTCTGAAATGTCAATATACATAGAGAGAAGGCAGAGAGACTCATACCCTTTAATGCAGTAGTCTTCTCTTTTTCATCTGGGCATCCTGGCTGGAGCTGAGCCATCATTACCCAAACTGTCAACAGATTTAAAACACTGAGGTAGAAGTACATTAATCTTCCGTGGACAATCTGAAAATCAACAAGAATTGGAAATTAAGAGATTAACTGACTTCCACTTCAACAGATCTCATTTGCTACTGCTTATGTCACAAAAAACCCAGAACTTGTTCCTAAAGCAAAACTTTCATAAATATTATAAATCCCTAGGATATGCAAGGTAAAATGAAAATTTTCCACTCCTTCAAAATTTATACTGGACACTGAAGTCTCATCACACTATCCTATATTAAGACACTTTACAGGAAGTGTGACACACACTCCAGAATCAAGTTTGGTCAAAGACTCAAGTTCACAAGAAATAACACTAACTTCACCCTAATCCTAAAAGGACATCTAGCCAATTGATCCTTCTTTTTTGTGATTCTAATGTAATATCAGTAAATGGTAAACCTTTTAAAGAAGCACCACACTTTGTAAGTCCAAAGTAGAAGATATAAGAAAATGCAAAACATAAACAATAGGACTTCCACAACCTTTAAGGATTTTCTTCATCAATTAACTCCACTTTATTACTCTTATTGTACTATTTAGTTTTGGTTTTAGTAAAACTAGACAGAGCACATTTTGAACCACTGTGTTATTGGCACTGAAATGTATAAAGTAAACATCGAAATACAGAATAAACCTATATATATTCAAGGTGAGAATCTACATGCAAAATATATTTATAAATTTCTCCTACTGCACAGAAGTCAACCCAGACATTCTAATCTGTAATCCCTTTCATCTTGAATCTGACACCAGAGGAGCGAACAACCACATCACAATCACTGCTTCCTCCTTCTCTGTAAAAAGACTTCCATGCATTGAATTCTTTTTCCCTTCATCTTTCTTTGGTTCTTCATTTTATCTGTCAGTCATTACCAATCTGTTTTATTATGTTCCCCAATGTACTTTACCATAGATGTCTTTCCATGAACTGTATCAGCAGGAAAAAAAAAAAAAACAGCAACCCACAAATAAGTGTAATAAAGACTATTTTTCTATTGTCTTTAGAGAACACCTACTACATGAAACATTTTCTTGTAGATTAAGGAAAAATTCAGCAATTTAAGGTTGTTTGTTTTTTTTTAAGTTGGGGTTGAAGAAAGTCCAATGATCCATTCTACAAGTTGGACCTACAGGAGACTTTGACACATTCCTTTGCAGAAGCCTGTTCCAATTATGCTGATGTGAAATGATAGTACCCTGCCAGAAGTCTTTTAAAGACACAATTCTACCAAGAAAGCTCTGCTTCGATTGTGTACCATTGTGTCACAGCTCAACATGATTCAGTCAAAATGTGTATCTTTTGGCTAACACCTTCATCAACTCAGTACTCATAACAAAGGTAATCAACAAAAATAACAGCAATGTAAGCATTACAATGACTCAAATGACTATTCACACACATGGATGGCATTAAAGACTTTTCTCACATGCCTCCAAACAGCCCACTGACAAAACATCACTGAATACAAAATTTTGTCCATCATCAGTTTGCACATTTGCAGCACAAAACTATGTACATTCTACTAAATCACTCAGAAAAGAAACAAACTAATTCCAGTTAAAATTATTAGGTGTGCTACAAAATGACAGTGATAGTGTTTTGCAATAGCCCAGATTAAAATTATTGTAGTCATACAAATTAGGTAGTACTCCCTACACAATATTTGAAAATTCATAATTGGGTGTAGATACACTAATGCAGTTACAAAACACATACAGATGCTCAATAACTTCTTATTACCCAAGGGAAGAAACATAAAATTTATCTGAACAGATGTATCTTGGTAAACAAACCCCCATCCCCTAATCAGATAAATCAATGAAGAAATGAAGAATCCCTGGCATTCTTGTCTCTACAATGGATACCCTTCTTCCTTAAACAGATGAAGACCCCGCCACTGTAGGTGGTAGGTAACAGCTTCACTTGCCAAGCTAGAAGCACCAAAAAAACAAATAAATAAATAAATCAGAATTCAGCTTTTGGAGAGAGAATTTCCAGTTCTTTTTGACAAACTAAAAAAATGTAACAGCAGCCACTGGAGGGAGGACTTGATATTAGAATGAGAATGAAACAAGCACACAGTATTTTATACATTGTTTGTATGAACACAGCATTGTGGAATCCCTCACTGGTATATGTTTAAATAACAAACTGAAAAAATTACATGAGAGGTTGGATTTTCTTTCTTTGGCAGACAGGTTCCAAATCAAGTATAGTCTGATGGTGCAGAAATGAATAGTAGGAAAATTATAAAGCTCTCCCATATGCAGGAATATGCAGTTTATTCTAGGCATCAGTTTCAAGTCCCAGTGATCTTTAACTTCATACATTGAGTACTCCACGCAATCCCCAGATACTATCATCAAGTCTTTCACAGTAAGTGGAGATTATTTTAAATGTCTTATTCTGTACAATTACTTGGATACTTCTTTTAAAAACATCTTTTCTGTGATTTTTTTTTTTTAGCATTAGCTACAGCAAGCATTTGTCCTAACAAACAAGTTACTATTTCACCTGAAGAAATACAGTAATTAAGTTTATTGCCATGAGAATGTATATTTATTTGTATGTATCTTGCTTTCCCTGGGGAGGGACTCTACATTAGGGACTGTAGTGACAGGACAAGGGGTAACGGGTTAAAACTTAAACAGGGGAAGTTTAGGTTGGATATAAGGAGGAAATTCTTTCCTGTTAGGGTGGTGAGGCACTGGAATAGGTTGCCCAGGGAGGTTGTGAATGCTCCATCCCTGGAAGTGTTCAAGGCCAGACTGGAAGAAGCCTTGGGCGAGATGGTTTAGTGTGAGATGTCCCTGCCCATGGCAGGGAGGTTGGAACTAGATGCTTTTAAGGTCCTTTCCAACCCTAACTATTCTATGGTTCTATGATTCTATCAAAAAATATCTTATGCATATTTCTGTGCCTCTTCTACTCTCTGCCCAGCAATACTTAAAATAATTTGGCAGCAGAAATATTCTCGTTTCATGGTTTCACATGAGACAATAAAGGGCTGCATTTTCATCATACCTCTAAATATGCAACTATAGAGCTGATGGATTCACGACTGCATGCATTCTGACTCTCAAACAAATGCACACATACACAGATTTCAGTGAAGACTTCAATTAGTCTTCACTGTGTAAATTCAGCTTGAAATGTGGCGAAAGTTGTAGTATAAAATTTGGCTCTACATTAGCAATACCTGAAACTAAGTCAATGCTACAAATGTTCCAAATAAGGCTACAAATAATTGATGTGCTAACCCACCACAAGTGCAATGTAGGGAGAAAACAAAAGTATTTTCAAACAGCGGAAGTCCCTCAAGACTATCTGGATATAATCTCAACAGGAGTTACCAGAGTCTCTTTATTACACTGCTTCATTACAATACAGTTGAATTAGAGCTGTGTTCTTTGTAAACTGAAATGCCAAGCAAGCTATGGACAAGTGTGGGTCAGATGTGTATGATTAGACTGATGACTGAGTAAGACTCAGTTTTTTTTCTGAGAGATGGCTGGGTGACACTTTGGCTCTAGTCCCTTCTCAGTATTGGTTCAACAAAGCAAAAAAATACCTCCTTTAATCTTAGTAGGATTCTCTGTCTGTAACTGGATTTTACCTATTTCAGCTTTTACTGCTCTACAGATGACATCAGTAACAACTGCATCAATTAAGGTCATATCTCTATTCCCTCCACTCACAAGACCCTCTTTTCAGGTGCTTATAGGTTTGCCAAACTTTGGCTTTGAAAGCCAATTACTCCCAGTACGCTTTAGACTAAACTTTAGACTAGGTTTTGAAAAAGTTCAGCTAAAATATCTCTTGTATATGAAAAAGGTTCAGAGACAGTATCTTCTCCTCAGTTCTGCTGATGTTAACGAGCAGCTACAGCATCTCCTTGTTGCAAAGACCAGAATTTTAACCAGAGGATCAGCTTTCCGGTGTGTGCCTCTTGCCACTACTCTTAAAGCCTGCACAGATCTGCCCAAGTTAAAAATGTTTTGTTTTGCACACACTTACTATAGACTTATTAAGACTTACCAGAATTTCCAGAAAATGTATGTATTTGCCTAAAGCATGCTCCATACAGGTGCAAAAAGCCAGAGGGAAGATGAACAGGAGGGGAGTAATAGATGCTAGAAGAACAACATCCTTAAACACCAGAATACAAAGATCCCAAAGTCCCTCAATCTCAGTACATCGCCACATTTTATCAAATGGTGGTGGAACCTGCTGATAAAGTACATACATGACAGTAAAGGCTGATTTGCACAGCAGCCACCTTTCAGTGCTATTCACCCAGTAAGCTCAAAAAGCAGAGAACTATGAGCTATATACATTAGCGTCCCAAACATGTCAGCAACTCAGCTGTTTATACAAGGCAGTGTCAACACAATTCCACACACTGATATTTTAATTATTTCAGCTTGATTTTCTTGACATGCTGGAACTGAATTTCATAAACTTATGCATGTAAACATGATCCAATAAACACGTCAAAATAATAGAAAGAGGGAGTACGACCTCAACACAGCCTCTGGGAGGTGAACAGGATGGTCTTACCAACTACACACGAGGTTCAAAATGATCATTCAGAATTCTTCTGCAGTAGCAACAGCTTTGAATACATGCACTGGTTTTGTCTGGGACACAGTAGTTTGCTTCACAGTAGCTGATACAAGACTATGCTTTGGATTTGTGATGAAAACAGTGTCACAGAATCATAGAATAATTAGGGTTTGAAAGGACCAGAGTCCCAAATCATCTAGTTCCAACCCCCCTGCCATGCATGGGCAGGGATACCTCACACTAAACCGTATCATCAAGGCCTCATCCAACCTGGTCTTGAACACTGTCAGGGATGGAGCATTCACAACCTCCCCAGGCAACCTGTTCCAGTGCCTCACCACCCTAACAGGAAAGAACTTCTTCCTTATATCCAACGTAAACTTCCCCTGTTTAAGTTTCAATCCGTTACCCCTTGTCCTATCACTACAGTCCCTAAGGAAGAGTCCCTCCC